CCTTCTGGGTAGAAATAAGGTGTATGCGGTTTATTGCCATGGATGCCTCCTCCAAGCATAGAGACACAGCCCAAGACCATCAGAACCAGAATCTTCTATGTGAAGTAGTGGAAGATGAATGTGTTCTCTTGCTTATGTTACTATACATACACATATCATATGCATATATACACACATTATACACTATATACACACACGTTATATATATATTATTTATTCACACATCATATATATTATATACACACATTATATATACATACAATATGTACAGTATATACACATTATATAGACATATACACATATATATACACACATTATATATACATTATTTATACACATATACATTACATATACATATATACATACATTATGATACATTATGTATACACACATTATATATACATACAATATGTACATTATATACACATTATATATACATTACATACACTTATATAATTATATATTATTTATATACATTATATGTACATTATATACATACATTATATATATGTACATTATATACATATTCTATATACTTACATGCACATTATATGTATACATGTTACATATACATTATTTGTACACATTATATACACACATTTTATATACACACTTTATATATATATATATATATATACACCCACATTACATATATATATACACATTGTATATACACATTATATGAATACACACATATATACACACAGTATATATACATTATATATGTACATTATATATATGCAATATATACACACATTATACACATACATTATATATACACATCATATATGTATACATTATGTGAGTGTATATGTATACATGTGTATACACACACACACACACACACACACACACACACACACACACACATAGTGGGGGAGTCTGACACATACCCTGAAAGTTTTTATTTTCTTTATGATTTCAGTATCATTTAAAAGGTATAATTTGGAGAGGACTGCTCCCTTCCCCCCATCTTTATATTATTTCATTTTCATCAGTTCTCTGGTTTGGGACCTATTTATGAGTTGTGAATTCTGAGTATAAATGCAAGCAACAGGGGCACCTGGGTGGCTCAGTCGGTAGAGCATCCAACTTGGGCTCAGGTCATGATCTCGTGGTTTGTGAGTTCAAGCCCTGCATCGGGCTCTCTGCTGTCAGCCTGTTGGTGCAGAGCACACTTCGGATCCTCTTTTCCCCTCTCTTGACCCCTCTCCTGCTTGTGCTCTCCCAAAAATAAATATTTTAAAAAAATAAATAGATAAATAAGTAAAGGAGTGCCTGGGTGGCTCAGTCGGTTAAGTGTCCAATTTCGGCTCAGGTCATGATCTCACTGTCCATGGGTTCAAGCCTCAGGTCGGGTTCTGTGCTGACAGCTCGGAGCCTGGAGCCTACTTCTGATTCTGTGTATACCTCTATCTCTCTGCCCTCCCTCACTTGTGCTCTCTTTCTCTCTCTCAAAAATAAATAAACTTAAAAAAAATTTAATAAATAAATGCAAGCAACATCTAGGCTAAGGTGCACTGTATTCCATCAGGCCAGTTTCTTACTGGCCACGTTTAGAAACCAGCTGTATTAAATCTTACTAAATCCAAATTTCTTTTTAAGGAGTATTTGCTTACAATGATACATAGGATCCGTACAATGATATAAAAGCTAAGTTAAGTGCTAACATTTGCACTGTGTTTTTCCCCCCTCAACTAAATCTGTCCTCTCTACCTGAGCAGGGGGAAAAAAAAAGAGTCAATACAGATGAGTGCTTTGCACTGTGTGACTGACCTGAAGTTTCCATGGTGGTTTGGGGCTCACAGTGTATCCTTTCAGTGTGCTTTGCTGATCTCAGCAGTTTTCTGTCTTGTTTTATTTAAAGCCAGTTGGATTTCGAGACCAACAAAATGTTAATTAGGTGGGTGTGCAGAGTCTGTGTGGAGAGTTTGTGTATCCCATCGATTGTTTCAAAGGAAAGGTAGAGGGGCGCCTGGGTGTGGCTCAGTGGGTTGAGCCTCTGACTTTGGCTCAGATCATGGTCTCACGGCTCATGAGTTCGAGCCCCGCATCAGGCTCTGTGCTGACAGCTCAGAGCCTGGAGCCTGCTTCGGATTCTGCGTCTCCCTCTCTCTCTGCCTTTCCCCTGCACTTGCTTGCGCACTCTCTCTCTCTGTCTCTGTCTCTCAAGTATAAATAAAAATTAAAAAAATTTAAAAAGTAAAAAGAAAGAAAAGAAAAGTAAAGTAAAGAAAAAAGAAAAGAAAAGGTGGAGAGCAGCTGGGTGGCTCGGTCAGTTGAGCATCCGACTCTTGATTTTGGCTCAGGTGGTAATCTCATGGTTCGTGAGTTCGAGCCCCATATCAGGCTCTGTGCTGACAGCTGCAGAGCCTGCTTGGGATTCCCTCTCTCTCTCTCTCTCTCTCACAAAATAAATGAATAAAATGTTTTTAAAAATGACTTTAAAAAGAAAAGGTGGAGAATAGGGGGTAGGTGAAACCGTGCGGGTCTGGAAAGGGAAAATACACTCAGAAGTGAATGTTGGTGGTGGGAGCATGCCCGTGGCTCCCTGCCTAGTACGTGGAGGGACTGGGCCGGACCTCTGGTCTGTGACTATCTATCCCTGCTTCTCCTACTTTTCTCCTAATTGAACTTTGCTAATGGAATAAACTGACAGACTGAGTGAGGTTGTCCCAGGCTCATGTGCTGTCTCAGCGTCTTTGCCATCATCTTGGGTAGACAGGTTATAGGCTGGCCCTCATGGGGCGAATCCTGACCATTCGGATGACATCGCTCTCTTTCTCTTTGCTACCTTCCTTGAGACCAGAAATTATCATAAGATCTTTCACGTGCACTAGGGATTGGCTATGGAGTGACCAGGAAGATCCACTTGGAGGCATTACCATTGGCTCAAGCATCTTGGGGTGGGGGGGTTCTTGGCAGTCTTGGAGGGGGTGGGGAGGGTGCAGGGGCTGCTCTCCCGGAGTCCGTGGCCTCTTCTGGAGGATGTGCGACACCAGATTCAGTCGAGTGGATAAGAGAGTAGAATTTTGCCCCGGCACAATTTAATTAATGCCCAAGCTAAAGTGGGGCAGTTACATTTGTTTCTTAAGAATGGCTCAGAGGGGTGCCTGGGGGGCTCAGTCAGCAAAGCACCTGACCTGGGCTCAGGTCATGATCTCGCGGTTCACAAATTCGAGCCCCGCCTCCGGCTCTGTGCTGACAGCTCAGAGCCTGGAGCCCGCTTGGGATTCTGTGTCTCCCTCTGTCTCTGCCCCTCCCCTGCTCGCGCTCTGTCTCTCTCTCTCAAAAAAATAAGTAAACATTAAAAAAAATGTAAAAGAATGGCTCAGAGGTGAATCTTTTACTTTTAAACGACCCATAAGTATTCTTGTTGATAAAGCAATTACAATTCACCAAATAAAATCCAGTAGAGAAGCGCCCACAGACCGCACACACGAATGCCCTCACTTGCAAAGGTGCGGAGAAGAGGGACTGTACCCCCGGGTGCTTGGGTGATCCCATTCTTTTCGTTCCTTTGGGGACGGGAAGGGTGTCTAATGCAGGAAATGGGTACGGCATTGAATTATTTTCTTAAGGAAACCTCTGTTAGTGGTGATAGGTTCTTCACAGGACTTTGGAGGTTTGGGTAAATAAATTCAAGGGACAGAGTAACACGACCAAACGTTACTCAAAGATCAGTCAAAGGGGCAATTTCCCAGTGAGTGTCCTGGACCGACAAGAGAAGGATTTCACTGGAAAAGAAAAAGTCCACAAAGCAAACTTCAACGATGCCATCCCCCGTATGGTAATTTTATTTTGGTGAAGCAGAATGTTAAGGATTCCGGTGTGAACGCAGAACCCGGGGCCGGTCGTGCATGGTGTTTGTGTACAGGTGCACAGGCTTCCTCCTTTCCACCCCAGCTGGCTCCCTTCCCTCCCGCGACCCTTTCTTATTTCATTGCCCTTCTACCCGGTGCCTTTTACCCTCTGCTCTAACTGCCCCTCTTGGGCCGCGTGACTCAGCATGCCTCTTGGCTGTCTCATGTGTCGTGAGAGCCCAGCTGCAGGGTCCCTTTCAGCACAGGAGTTGGGATTTCCTTCCGAACGACGCTCGAGGTTGCTTTTTGTCATGCCTGTTGGAAGCCAGGAGCGTGTGGTCATGCTGATATTCTGTGTGATAGGATGCCCTGAACATTTATACGCTCCCTCGTACTGAGCTCATACCCACCTTCCTGGTGTTGACCCCGTGGGGCTGCCTGGCTGGGGCTCCGGAGATGACTGAAACTGACACCCCGCCTTTGGGGCTCCCCAGATGACACCCTACCTGGAAACCGCTCTTGATTCTCGGATCATTCCAGTGCTTGCGTATCTGTCGGGCCACATCATGCCTGCTATCCCAATCCCCAAACGGAAACGGATGTAGGACTCTGTCTCCTCGGCCTTGAATCACTTCCCTCCTTTCCCATGACTTACCCCCAATTTTTTTCCATTTTTTTTTAATTGGAAATTCTTTTCATGTTCCCTCTCAACAAAGACTTGGCTGCTGACAGCTAAACTGGGTTTAGATGAGTGATTTATTTTATGGCAGGTTGTATGAGGATAGTAAAAAGAGACTGCCTGGCTCTTCTGCTGATTTACTAAAACACTTGATCTCTTCCAGTCCAAACCACTCCCCCCACCCAAATGGCCACGGCGTTTTAATAAAAAGCAGCCATCTCATCCATCTGAGGCTCCTCCACCCTACCTGGCTTCTCTGAATGTCCAAAACAGCTTGTTAAATGGGTCTCACCCTGGTTTCGAACAGGACAGAGTCCTCCCCTGGAATGGAGAGATCTCTGTGTCCAGAGATGAATATTCCCCACTTGACGGCCAATTTGCCTTCGTGCTGTTTTGTTATTTTATTTTTTTTTATTGAAGAATAATTGACATTGACATGCAAGATATCTTCTTGCCTTTTTAGACTTCTCTACCCTCCCTGCAGGTCTGCAGGAAAGGTCTCAACATTTCCATCCAAAATGACTGGATGTACGTGGCTTAGGTTATTTTGGAAATGTGAAAATTCGGGCTGATCAAATATTACAGAGTCAATGAGTGTAAAACCACAAACTCGTGGAAACCTAAAATTAGAAACGAAGAAGGAAATGTCTTTTCTTGAATTAAAAATTTGGCAGTTTTGGGATGAACGTGAAGATTATATTCTGTTACAATTAAATTTTTTACTTTTGAACTTTCTTTGTGGTACAATAGACATAACAGAAGTTCTCATTTTGACCATTTTTCAGCGTCCAGGGTGCAGTTCGGCGGCATTAGGTGCATTCAGTAGTGCAGCCGTCACCACTGTCTGTCTCCGTGTGACACTCCACCATCCTTCCCCATGTGAAACTCTGTCCCCATGCAACACTGACTCCCAGGCCCCTGTCCCCAGCTCCCTCTACCTTCTGCCCCTGTGAATTGGACTGTTCTGGGTAGCTGGAGCATCATTACTTTCTGGAACAAAGCAGTCCTCTCCTGGCATTCTCCCCCTACTCTCGGTATCCCCTCACCTGATCCCTCACCCATTCTGCAGAGGCCATTTTGCAAGCTCTTTGGTGATTTGCTGAGCCTTGTTTTTATTTTTCGTCATTTGCTCGTTTGGGTTACCACTAACCCTCCCCTCCCACTGTGTCCCTCTGCAGTCTTGAGTATCCGGGGAGCCCAGGAGGAGGAGCCGACAGACCCCCAGCTGATGCGACTGGACAACATGCTGCTGGCCGAGGGGGTGGCGGGCCCCGAGAAGGGTGGTGGCTCGGCGGCAGCCGCAGCCGCAGCAGCGGCTTCGGGAGGCGCGGGCTCAGACAACTCTGTGGAGCACTCCGATTACAGAGCCAAGCTGTCCCAGATCAGACAGATCTACCACACGGAGCTGGAGAAGTACGAGCAGGTAACCATGGCCATGAGGGCATTGGGTGCCAGGACCTTTTAGGAAGGACGAAGAACCTCTTAACTCAGGGGCTTACACAGACCCCAGGGGCCAGCCTCTGCGCTTCAACACAGAGTCCCTGGTCAGAATGGAGTCCACCAAATCCTCGATCCAAACCCTCGAGTCTACCAAATCCACTGTTAAAAACCCAGGCACACTGGACATTCAGGCATTTTAAAAACGTAAGTTGTAAGCGATGATTTCAGGAAACATTACCAGTCAGTATAACAAACACTCAGGCTGGGGCTCCAGAGCATTTGCCCCTGGCGTGCAGTCAGGTCTCATCAAGGTAATAGAGGTCATTAGCAGAGTCATCACCTGATTTGTGGGGTGGTCGCTGGGTTCCTAGGGCCCTTGTTTGCTCATTTGGGGGAGGATTCCTTATCTTCTGGGTACTCATGGAATCCTACGGGAAAGGATACTAAAACATAGCCTTAAAGCCCTTGCTGTACCCAGACTCCATTCAACTGAGAGTCAAACATGTTCTTTTTGTATATGATACAGAATAGGATACTCACCTCCCTCCAGAAGAAGAGTAGAAGGTCTCAGGGGACCCCTGTAGGCAACAAAGTTGGATTCCAGTCCTGACACTCCACGGATGGCCCGTAGGACCCAGTGGTCCACATATTCCACCCAAAAGCTGGTGATGTATGGCAAAGAGCTGTGCATTTGGCATCACAGGACCACAAAGACCATATGAAGGAGAGCATAAGAAAGACTTTAAATTACAAAGCAGTATGTAAAGTGTACGTAATAACAGAGCTCCTCTCTCTAAGAGACCCTCCCCTCTACGCACACACACGGGAATTTACATATCCATTCTGCTTCCTGTGGTCAGTAGGAGCAAAAGGCCCTTACACCAGTCGTTCTTCCACAAGTAGGCGACAGGTGTGTTTGTTGTCACATTTTTGAATGCAGCATTATCCTGAAGTTCTGTAGTTAACTTCCATCAAATTGCTGGCTTTCCGGCTTTCTTTTCTAAGAGTCACGAAAGAAGAGGGAGCAAAAGCAAATCAAAAGACCCTGTACAGTCCACTCAGGACTATCTAGGTACAAGGCAAATGCAAACTTAATAGAAAATTTAAATTTTAAAGTAGAAATAGGCATTTTAAATTTTAAAGCGAAGAAAGTTTCATTATTGCACTCCCGTCTACCTTTGAAATGGATTTCTACCGAGTCCCTTCTTTTATGAGGGGGAAAAAATTGCTGTGAAGCATGAAGCCAAGCATGGAAGCTCAACGATCAGATAAGCCTGGGGAGGGTTTGAGGGGAGGAAAAGAGAAGCGATCTGGTGGTAAGAACCTGTGAGTCATTTCTGTTCACTTTCTCGGGAGACAACATACATTCTTGCCACAGTGTTGGCTCATGGAGACACTTCCCAAGATCTCAGGAGATGCTGAGCCCAGGTAGCGGGCTGATCCCTGAAGCTTCTCCAACCCGATCCATCACTGTAGAGTTCAGAGTCTGCCCTCACCTGTGGGATAGCTTGGGAAGACAGATGGAGATATTTCCTATAAAGGTCTCTAGCTAGCCTCTTGAGTTCTTCCTACTCAGTGCTGTTCCTACTTGACCTTCAAGATTAAGCCTGGTTATAACAACCTATCTAGACCTGCCATCCATTTAACTCCCTCCAAACTCCAGGGGCACAAGAAGGGCCCAGAGGATGGCTTCCCCCACTAGACCCATGACTGCGATGGATATTAGGCTGGAAGGTGTTGAAAACTGGCTTTATTCTTAGCTCAGGTTGCCAGCAACATAGAAGAACTGACTGTTTACTTGATTTAAACCCCCTTGTCATTGTTCTCCGCTCATCCAAAATGAGTAAAACGCTGTTGCCAACAGCATTGCACTTGTCTCTCAAGACAGTTTTTTGTTTTTTTTTTTTTTTTAAATTTTGTTTTTTTTTTCAACGTTTATTTATTTTTGGGACAGAGAGAGACAGAGCATGAGCGGGGGAGGGGCAGAGAGAGAGGGAGACACAGAATCGGAAACAGGCTCCAGGCTCTGAGCCATCAGCCCAGAGCCTGACGCGGGGCTCGAACTCCCGGACCGCGAGATCGTGACCTGGCTGAAGTCGGACGCTTAACCGACTGCGCCACCCAGGCGCCCCGTCTCTCAAGACAGTTTTGTGGTTGGGTACCCGGGACCAGAACTGCCACCCTCTCCATTTTGATACAGGTGAGGGAATGGAGATCAAAAGGCTTAGCTTGTGTATCTGGGTCACACATCCTGTGAAGGGCAGAGCTTGCCCTGGAATCCAGTTTCTGAGCCTTAGTTTATGGGCTCTTATAAGAACACCACCTGACTGCACTCAGTATGGAGAGAGTGTGGACTTGTGTAGACAGAGAGGGAGTCAGCTTGTCCTGTGTTACTTCCATGGACTAGATTACTGGTACCTAAGAGAGGCCAGGGCTAATATGCTCCTGGATATCTGCCTATTTTAAATAATAAAGATGTGGGAAAGCAGAAACTCAGAAAAACTCCCATTGGTACAGGACAAATTATACAAGTAGGGTGGTGATCATCTGTATTTCTTATTCTTAAAAAAACTAACAAATCATTTCCTTAGTTTCTGGGCAAGAACTGAATCCTACTTAACACACTTTGGGTGTTTAGTAATTTATTAATACTAGTTATATTGTTAATTATAGTAAATAACAGATTGTAGGGAAATTATGGCATTAAACTCCTCACTCATATGTCGGGGAGATGTATCTTCTCCACTTTTCTGTGACCATTCCTTGTGGGAGCTTTTTTTAAAATCAGGTAACTTCAGGAAAGTAAAAATGTCATTCTTTACTTTAGTAGTACGTGGGTAGAGTTGCCAAATTGGCTATTAATAGCTGACTCTGTTGTTTTTATTGGTTTTGTTTTTAGCGTGGTGGTGATAGATGACCAGACGATCAATTAGCTTTCTGCTAATTAGGTATCATCGCCCTCCTCAACCCCATCCCTTAAAACAAAAACAACCCCCTACCTGAATCAGCCTTTGATTCACCCTGAGGTTATTCCATAAAGAAAGCTTCTAGAGATGTCTATTAGACAGAAAGGAAAGAAATTATTTTATTCAGCAAATGGTGTTGGTAAAATGCTTTTTCAGCAGATCATGTAGGTAGCTAAGGTATATAAGAACTGATGCATTCTAATAGACAACACCATGATGTCAGAAAGCTGAATTTTATCCCAGCTGATACATTTTTTTAAGTGATGGGTCTTGGAGCTCTCCAGGGTTCTCCAGCTTTCGTACATAACGCTGCTGGGGCGTGGATGGGGCTGAATCTGTAAGGCTGAACTGGGCTGTGTTGGCAGGTTCACGGCTAAGAGGACCCTAAATCCTAGTTATATTCTTTGCCGAGATTGGCACCAAATCCACTTTGAAGGAGTGAGGGAAGAAGGCGGGCTCAACAGAGTGCAGGACAGAAACTTAAAACTCTGGCCCGTTGAGCAGAATGTTCGAGGCGGGGGCTTGTCTTTAGTCTGCGGCTCCCAGAAACGCCGTTGCCCTGGAACCTCGGAAGGGTCCCTTCGAAATCCTCGGGGTCTCTGGGGCACCCGGAATGGCACCTCCTGAAAGTGACTGCCTTTATGACTGTCCACAGTGGAGTCGGCCCCGTCACAGGAACTTTCAGCCTCCGAGGGTTCTGTGTAGTTAGCGAGTTGTAACCCCAGCTCTCCCCATTGCTGGCGCTTCGAGAACACCTGACCTAACAGAGGCAGCCCAGCTTCCCAAGGTGGAAGCTGGCGGGATCTGAGGAGGACTCATGGGTAGTGAAGGTCCTGGGAAAACCCCAGATCTTTATGCTCTGTCCGTCTCACATGGACTTGGACCTCGCCTCTGCTCTTTAGTGTGTGTTCCCGAGCAGCTGCCTCGTTCCACCTCAGCAGTGGGTGAAAAGACCCCACTGTCTGTTTATGGCAGAGCAGAAAGGGCCCCAGGATGAAATGCCTTGAATAAACGTCAGATATTGTGAGTATTTTTATTCCCTGTAATGAAGCGCATTATTGTGAGCCCCGCACTGCGGCTTCCCAGCGGAGAGCGAGTGCCCTTGACAATGCCTCCCCACATCCGGCCCCTCCTCCCTTTGAGCCCCCACGAGGTCAGGAGGCTGCAGGCCAGCAAGGTGCAGCGTTTGCCCACAAAGCCGGTCGGGATGCTTGCTGTGTGCCTAACCCGGCACTCCCCACCCCGTGGCCTCATCGAATCCAGCCAAGTGGATGCCAGGTTTTCTGTCCTTCCCTTTGTTTACAACTGGGGGCTGGGTGGGCAGGGAGGAAGCTTATCATACAGATCTTGGGTTTATATAGTAATTTTCTTAGTGGAGAGCAAAATGCTACGTGGACCTGATCTACGGATTTATCTTCAGCATTTGCCTGCAGAGTAGAAAGCAGGTGTTTATCACCCTGTTTATTTTTACCAAGAGGGAAACTGGCACCCGGACACATCCTTCTGCAGCCAGACACACACCTAGTAAGTCATCTGACCCTTACCATCCCCTTTGAGGTGGGTGCTGCCACCCCCAACTCACAAATAAGGAAGACGAGTCACAGAGAGATTAGACAACTTTCCAAGGTCCCACAGCTAAGTGAGTCCCAGAGGCAGGATCTGAGCGCAGGCCATCCAGGCCCTTCTCGCGTGCTCCCCTGTGTTTGCGAGCACGGTTCACTCCGTCCACAGGTCACTGTACAGGTCCGTAGTTGCTGCTAGCCTTGCTACAGGTTTGCAGTGATTAAATCTACACCCTCAGATGCGTAAAACAAGGCACACGGAGTAGTGATAGGCTTTGCCCAGACACTTAGGGAGGCGGGGTCAAAGACCAGATCTCCCAGTCTCCAGTGTAGACGTTGCCCAGTCGGCTCCCCAGGTATCTTTGGCCAACCAACCTCAAAGGATTTCTTAGAGAAACAAACAGCGAGTGGGTTGTTGTCACTGCATTCTTGACAGATGTGAAAGGCTTTGCGCTGGAAAAACAGGGGCCGTGCAGTGTTCTCACGAATGGTTGTGTTTCTGTTATTGATATTAAGTTGGAGCCCTTTGAGTCCTTGGTTCTTCAGCTGTCCAACGATCGTCTTGCCTTTTTCGTTACGAATCTAATACAGTTTTATAACGCTGCTGTGAGTTAACCTGTGCATAGATATTTTATTGAACGCTCAGCTAAGGAAACCACACTTCAGATGTTAAGAAATAGTAACCACAGGAAGGGTAGTGATGTTCAGAGGAGCAAGTTTGGACGGAAGTCCCCGGCCTGGAATAGGAAGTGTTAAGGGTCCTGACTCAGCTGGTCCTTTTTTGCCATGTGCCTTCAGAAAAGGCCCTTCCTCTCTCTGAGCCACAGTTTTCCCAACTGTAAAATAAGAAGGTGGGAAATATGATCTTTAACTTCCCTTCCAGAGCTGATGGTACGTTAGTCTAACCTGAGAGCTTTCCTTTCTGCAGAGATGGCTTCTGAATCCTCGAAATCATGTGTTGATGCTATTTCTACAAGGCCTCTGAGGACAGATCCCTTTTGTGTCGTGGCTTTAGTGGGTCTTCCGAAGGCCGACAGAGGAGGCAATTCTCATAATAAAACTAAAAGGAGAAATAGGTTGATGCAAAATCTCCCGGGAAGGCTAGCTTTTAATTCCACGATTCCATTCTTTGGCTGTTGATGTATCCGAAAATCAAACATTTGGAAGTTCTAATATATCAGAGATAGTGAGCAAGGCAGAAGTTTATGTGGTATTTGGCCCCCCAACTGTCTCTGGCTGTTAACATTGGGGTGAAGGGCTGTAGGGTGCATTTTTTTAAAAAATTTTTTTAGCATTTATTTATTACTGAGAGACAGAGCACGAGCATGGGAGGGGCAGAGAGAGGAGGAGACACAGAATCTGAAGCAGGCTCCAGGCTCCGAGCTATCAGCACAGAGCCCGACACAGGGCTCAAACCCACAAGCCACGAGATCAGGACCTGAGCTGAAGTCGGACGCTTAACTGACTGAGCCACCCAGGTGCCCCGGGCTGTGGGGTGCGTTTTATACTAGGATTTGTGTTCTCACCTTTCAACTACAGTAAATCATGAAAAACAGGAATTCTTTTTTTTCCCTTAAAAGAAAAAAAATGTCCATGGTGGCCAAAAGTTAAATTCAAACAGGATGCAAGGTATTTCTAAGCAACCATTTACTTCATCCCTCTGGCGTGACAACACCCCACGAACTTGTGTGGGGTGAGTTGGCTTCCCTTGTGCCAGTGTCTAGAAAAGCCCACCCAGCCTTCCGTCCGGGCCCGGACCCTCCACACGGCCCCTGTTTGTTGTCCTGCCGTTCCAGGCGTGCAACGAGTTTACCACCCACGTGATGAACCTGCTGCGGGAGCAGAGCCGGACCAGGCCCATCTCCCCCAAGGAGATCGAGCGTATGGTCAGCATCATCCACCGCAAATTCAGCTCCATCCAGATGCAGCTTAAGCAGAGCACGTGCGAGGCCGTCATGATCCTGCGCTCCCGGTTTCTGGACGCGCGGTGAGTCGCCAACGGGGCCGCCTGTCCGCTGGCAGGGGCGGGGTGGGGCGGGGCAGGGGGTGGGGAGGGCATCCCGGATCTGGGGTTGGGACCCACAGCGGGCCCTGTCCACAGGCTCCATTTTCATCCAGTGAAAGGCCACGCCAAACGGCAGCCTGCGGAAGTCTCTTGGGTCGGGAGCGGGAGGCTGCAAGACCGGATTAGCCGTTGGTTTCAGACAGCTCCGGGAGCACGTGTGATGGGGACGGATGCTTGCAGTCACCACCGCGGCTCCCTCTGAGTGCGCGGCGGGGATGACCAAGCTGGGTGAGGGCAAAAGCTGCACGTTTGTTTTCATAGCACTCGGTACCGCCGTGTCGTAGCTCTGGGCCCCTAGCGGTCTTCCTGAACGCTGCAGTGACGCGCGTCCCCCAGCAGGACAGTGCGGTTTGAGAGCGAGATCTCTTCCACCGTACATACGGGCAGGGCGCGCACTCAGTTCAGCTCAGCAAATATTTGGAAGCGGATTGCCATGTGCGGCACTCCGGGCTAAGTTTTAGGAGGACGGAGATGACTGGGGCCATGGTCCATGGGCCCAGAGGAGCAGGGGCTGGTCTGATAATGCGCCAGATTTTCAATCAAGGCTTGATGTGTTCCATCTGGCAGTGCTACTCCTGACCTCACGTGTGAGTTCACAGAATTCCAGTGAAGAAACCCTGGATGGAAAGGTCCTTTAAAAAAAAAAAAAAAAAAGATAAAAAACAGAACAGAGAGCAAGCAATCATTTCTTGGTCCTTTACTCTCTCGACCAGTGGGTTTATGCATCTCTCTCTGATTTCCTTTAACTTCTGTTTCGCGGCCTGCAAGCTGGTGATAATCCTATCTTTCATTTACTCCGGAGGAGTATTTTGATCATCGTTCCAGCGGCCACGTTTTCAGAGTGTGGGCGCCCCTGGCGACTCACGCTCCCCCTTAGATTAGCCAACCTCTACAAATGCGGTTTTCATCGTTCATTACTTCGATCCCTAAAAATCATCCCCATCTATGATTTTAGTTATTAAAGCTCTAGGTATGTCGGGGGAGTGTGCCATGTCATCGTTTATAGTTTTGAACCTTTTCAGTGAGACAGAAAGACTCACTGCTCCTGGTAGAATTTTTTCGCTGCCACCGTCGTGCCTTAGTCAGCTCTCTCACCTGTATCTCTCTCTCTGTTCACAGTTGTGGTCTTTGCAATCCACAGACCTCTCTAAAACTCCTGGCATCTCCTAAACTCCCTTTCTTTCGATGTGTTTTGGGTCGCACGGAGCATGAAATGAGACTGCCAGCCAGCAAAATGTATCCCTGGGCCCCCAGAATGCCAGAGGGTTAAGTCAGGACAGAGTGAAAATACAGACAGCTTTTCCCAGCTGGGGAAGACTCTGGAGGGGGGGAGGCAGCGTCTCCCTGAAGCGGGGCCCCTGTGCGTCGATCTCCCTGGCCTCGTGGCCGCTGCCAGCCCGGCTTCTTTAAAGCAGGCTGTTGCACACAGTACGGAGTGCAGGTGACTGGTGACCTCTGTCTGGGTCGGTCCCCTGCCCGTGCTGCAGCCACCACCACTCTGCGTGGCTTGTTTCCATCCCCATGGAAACTCCCCTGGTTAAAATTCTGGAGTTGGTATGTGTGTTGGCAGTTCCTGAAAAAGAGAAAAGTTGGGCCCAGACTGGATTTTTTTTGCAGAGAGAACCCGGGGAGAAGGGAGGCGCAGAATCGTTGTCTTGTTGGATTTCTTCTCGCACGAATTGGGCTGTGTGCAGTTAGAGGTCAGACCCCAAACGAGGCGAGCTTTGTACACAGTTGCTGTCCTTTCCACCAGCTTTTGCCTACATGGTTCCCGTTGGCATCTGAAGGACGGTCACTTAACAGAGGGTCTCTTTCCTGCTTTGGTTGCAACTTTTGAATCCTTGCCTCTGAGCCAAGCTTCAAAACGAAAACAACTCAGCTATTGTCATTGTTACTAGCATTGATTTTGAGGATATATTTGGTATCAGTGAAAGAATATAACTCCAAATGCCAGCCCATGGCTGAGCAAAATGGCTTTCTCCCTCAAAAATAAGTGTGGACCTCTTGATTGGGGTAGTTCATTTCCTTGCTTGCTTCCTGTGCTGTAATTGGGGAGCTAACTTGACAAACCTTGGTGAGAAAGACAGACAGACTCGGTGCTGATATTCACATGCGTGTGATGGCCAGGGCTTCATCCCTGAAAGATACGATGGAAGACAGACGAAATACAAGGGGACTTTGACTTAGTAATAGGATTAGTCTTTGTAATGTAACAGGTATGTAGAATCGAAGGGTCCTGCTTTGCTATGTAACACTCCTTGTCTTAGTTTCTCATGACCACCTAACGGATTACTCAAATCTAGCAGCCTCAAACAACACAACGTTATTACAACACAGCTTCTGTTGTTTAGGTGTCTGGGGACAATTTAACTTAGTCTCACAAAGCTGTAATCTGGGTGTCAGCTGAGGCCGTGACCTCATCAGAGACACAGTTCCTCTTCCAGGCTTATTCCCGCCGTGGGCAGCATTCAGTGCCTTGTGGTTGTGGGACCGAGGTCCCGGCTCCCACGAACCACTCTTTCCGTGGCCAGCTCTCATCTTGGCTGCTTGCTTTCTTCCCGGAAACCAGCAAGAGAATCTCACTATTTTAAGGCTTTGACATCATCTCCCTGAACAGAGGATGATACCTTTTTATCATCATGGCCACACTCGGGGGAGGGCGTGGATGCCAGGCTGGACTCTTACGCCTTTCTAGAACTCTATCATCCATACCCTTCAGCTGAGCGCTTGGTCCAGCCGTGTCCATTCACATCCTATCCTTTTTCTCTTCCTTCCATTGACTTAATAGTGCCAGAAGAAGTCATTCATTCATTCATTCACTCATTCATTCTACATTTATTCTCTCCTGGTATGTACCGAACACTGTGCTATCAAACTTGGTAAAGTTATTGTCAGCATCATAAGCACAGTTTTCTCAGTTGAAAGAGAGAGAACTTGGGAACACTCTTGATGGTTTTCAAGCAATAATTGTAACTTCTGTTTGGTAACATTTTGCCGGAGACGACACTAAGAAGATAATCAGATATCAGAAGAACACCTCTGCATTTCACCCCGAGAGAGGGATGCCGTAAAAATTAGTTAGTAAAGCGGAAGACGACAGGAGGGAAGGACATCCAGTAAGGTCTGGGCAGACTGGCCCGTGTTTGGATTTGTGTATCTCATTGAGTTTTAGTCTCTGCCAGAAGCTGTAGCAGCCACTGGAATAACTAAGGGGGGGGGGGAGGAAAACATATATAAATGTGGGTCCCACCTTCAAGGAGCTCATAATCTTGTGCGACAAACCGACACTCGTCTACCAGTGAACTTAAAACCGCATGTTACACGTGCTTACCTCCTGGCTGCACCGGAAGGGGAGGCGGAATGCAGGATGGGGCATCCCAGAGCTGGCGTGGTGTTTGCCAAATAGCCTCCACCCCCCGTTGAGCAGAATGAAACCGTGTGATCCAACTTTGACAAGCAATACTTACTGGAACGCTTCCCGTGTGTGAGGGCACTAGGGTTTCGAGGATGAGTGACACATGGCTCCTGCCCTTGAGGACTTTGCTGTCTAGCTAGGGAGACGTATGTGAGCTTGTGGCAAATGCTGTAGGAGAGGAGTGCACATGGTGGTGTGACGAGGTCAGGAGCATGGAAGTCACGAGTGTCTTTGGGGAATGGAGAAGCAATGATGTGGCTGGACGAAACTACGCAGAGCATGTTTAGGGATGGGGGAAATGAGGCACCAGGGATAGGCTGGGTCCGCTGCAAAACCCTAAACTACACCCGTGAAGATTTCAAAATTTGTCCTGGTAAGCAGCAGAAACCTTCAGAGCTGTTTAAGGACGGAGTATAGTCACCGACAGCGTAAGTTCCCAAACTGCGTGGCGTGGATTCCAAGCCTGGCTACCTTTGTAACCCTGTCCTCCCTAGGACTCCTGTCTGTAAAGTGGGGATAACCCTATACACAGGAATAAACAAGAGAATAAGAAAACAAAAACCTTAGTATAGGGTCCAGAATATCGTATTCACACAATGATTCAGCTAGAATATACTAAGGATCACTGCGTTATAGATTCCTTATTATTATTATTTTATTATCATTATTGTGATTGTGATTGCTGTGATTAGTGACATGATCAGACAGTGGCCTATTGAAACCCATTTCAGAACTAGAGTGACAATAGGCTGGAACAGAAGAGTTGGGTTTGAAGGACTAGACCTGGCAGAACTTGCTTTCGGGACCGTCATCGGACGAAGGTAAGACAGCAGGAGAGGCTGAGTCACTCCCAGGTTCTGACAGCTGTGAGGTACTCAGGTATTTGAATGAGCGGATGAATAAATTTAGACACACCGAACCGTGGCTATGGGGATGTGGGTAATGGAGAAAACGGAGCTGATTTGGGTGCGGTGCGACGCTGGTTTTGGAGACGCGGAGTGTCTAGGCTGTGCGATGAGAGATGGGCAGTGATCCTCCAAGAGGTGATAGGGCGGGAGGCAAGATAGTTGATACTTAACAGCGTATGTGTGCTGCACCTGCACTTCTCACTCCTGAGTCACTATGATTCAAAAGTTTCCATCCCTAAAGCGCCACATGTATCCAATGCTATTTCATCAACCCCCACATGTCTTACATTAACAGCCTAGATCCCCACCTCCCAAGACCCAGAGTCTCAAACGTTAACCTACCAAGCCGATCACACTTCAGGCCAAAGCCAGGGGGGTCGCTCAAATAAGCGTATCATCAGAAGTATATTCTTTTCACTAGGTTTCTTGAAATTCTGCAAAGTCCTCATCTTGGGATTGCCAAGGCCCTCAATGGAGACCGTCACGGAGAGAGGTGATAAGCGAGCCCATCAGAGTAGATGAGACCGCCTAGGGAAGGTTGCACATCACAATGAGAAGAGAGTCGGGAACAGCTGTCTGTACCAGCCCCACACCCACCAGCTCATTCCAGAGAGGTTTCCTTTGAGCTCAGTTGGAAGACTCCCAAAAAATACAGTGTGATGCTAATGCAGACAGCTGAATGAATGAACCAAGGTTCTCCCAATTAGGGGAGCCTTCAGGGTCCAGTTCCCCAGGCCTAAGACAACTGTTTTCTTTAGGCAGGGAAGAAGCCAGAGGTTACCGAAAGCCTGGCCCGGAGCCCTTGTTAGCCACTTGGCTACTTTCCTCAAATTCCCAGCAGGCGAGGACTTTTAACAAATGCCTGTTTTTCGAGTTGGGCTTTTTTAATCCGTTCTGCCCAATTTCTGATGCTGGGTGACCCAGAAACTCAGCGTGATTTGGGAAAGTGACTCGGGCTTGGCATAGTCTGGACAGATGTGGTTAATACCTATGGACAGATGGTGTTCATCCGGTAAAATCAGGCACTTTATTGTGTTAATTAATCCAAGTGGGACCCTGAAAATACAATATTAGCTGAATTTCCTATCTAGCAAGGCGATCGGTGTTTTCTGTTGGGCTAAATCGGGAACTCCTGTATCCTGGCATAACCAAGGATGTTCTGGAAATCTCTTCCATAAGGAAGAGCTTTTGATAAAAGCAAGAAAGGCAGAGTGCTAACAGAGCTCATTTAACGATGGGGTCCCCACCGCCTCGAGGAGGGCCAGCCAGCCTCTGCTGTGAGCGGGACGTCCCCAGACAGCTCCCCAGCTGCCCACAGGCCAGAGCTGTGAGGAGGCAGTAAAGCGATTCTCACTTTAAAGTAGTTCAATTAGCACTTTTTTCTTAAAGACAGAAAAACACTTTGGTTCCAAAAGTGGTTCTCTCCCTTTCAGCAACCTGTGTATTAAGCGGATTTCTGCGGGCTTTTGTTTTACCATTTAGCAGCTGGTCTTGGTGTGATTTCTCTCCTTCTGAGGGAGGTCAAGCAGTCCAGGGGGGTGATTCTAGTTTCTTCCACACCCTCTTCCCCAGATGCCTTTACAGAACATTGTATGCATTTACCTGGGAATGGAAGAAAGGGGAAATGCTCGCTTATTTTTAACTTACGGCTATAGAGTCTCTGTGTAATCGGCAGGAGGCGATTTGTGTATAAGAAAGAGGGCTGGGTTGTTCCAGGCAGACCCGAATGGAGGTCTTGGCTCTATAACCTACCGGCTGAGTGAACTTTGGTAAATGGGAAGACCCGTACCTATCTCGCTAGACGTGTAGAGTGAGTAATTTGAGTTGATGAGTGGGAAGATCCAGTGCCTGGAGCCTGGTAGGAAGAAACACCATCACCGGGCATTCACCATGTACCAGGCACCGTGCAGAGCCCTTTCCATGTGTGGCCTCATTTTCCTGTTCTGGTCACCCTGCGAGGCCAGTGTGACTCCTTTCGCCTCAGCTGAAGAAGCTGAGGCTTGGAGAGGCATCCCAGCCCCCCAGCGGGCATTCAGTTGGTCCAGGATTCAATATCAAGGTGGTTGAGTTGTACAACTCCATGGTCCTCACCCCTCTGTACAAATATTGGCGACTGATTCTCTGCTCGGTGCCCCCGTGAGGCACCACGAAGCATTTAACAAATGCCTTCCGCGGCCGTTTTGGCACCCAGCCCCTTTGTGCAGATTTCCCCTAATTCCACGTTTCGCTCCAAAATTTGCCTTTTCCCAGAAGGAGATCCTCGTCTCTCCCTTTTTATGTGCACTCGGTGTGAACTTTTTTGTCCTTCTTTCCTTTCTGTTCATGAAGGCGGAAGAGACGGAATTTCAACAAGCAAGCAACGGAAATCCTGAATGAATATTTCTATTCCCATCTCAGCAACCCTTACCCCAGTGAGGAAGCCAAAGAGGAGTTAGCCAAGAAGTGTGGCATCACAGTGTCCCAGGTAAGGGGCCCTCAAAAGGCTCAGCTGCTAGCCTGGCTGTGGTGGAGCCCACGTGGCAGGGTCTTGGAGGTGTGGCTTTACCAAGCTTTCATGCCTTGCTCGCTTTAGCATCCATCTGCTAAAGCCCTAAAAATGGCAAGGTGAGCACCTGATATGTTGAAATAGGAGAGCTTCCAGGTAAGTCCCTGGGCAAACTAGAGAGGGTCCAGCAGAACTGGAGGAGTAGAGTACAGTATAAAAACAGGGTTGGGGTTCTTCCCGTTGAATGCTCGGTTGCTTTAAAAATGGGCCAAGGTTCTTACGTGTCCTGGGAAAGCCATCTGCATTTGTCGCATGGTTTGCTCAAACACAGGCCATTCCTTAGCTCATCTTTTGCCCAACCCAAGAAAGAGCCAGTGAATGGAACTTTGAGATGTCCTCTCTTGACGTGCTCGTCTCTGTAACTGATGGGAGGTAGGACTTTTAACATGTCTCTGTGATGGCATCAGAATGGTTGCACAAAATGTCACTGAGTGCCCCCTTCCCCCAAAGAGCAATAACCATAATAGTTGCCAGTCGGCATGGAAAGATACATGATAAAAATAGTTTTATGGACCTGGTGTCTTCAACAGTAATATGGAAATAGAAAAGTAGGCAATATTTCTGTGTACGTATATTTTGCCGGCTCAAAGGATCCATCCAAAACTTCTTATTTAATCTGAATGCCATCTCAAAGATGTCCACTGGTCTCTAGTTAAGAACAGTAGTGAGAATTCTGAAATCTAACAGAGAAAGTCCCTCTGAATTCTGTCACAGGCAAGAGAACCAAATGTACTGGCATTTCCATAAAAGGGGTGGGGGGAAGAAGGCTATGAAACTTCACCTGGCCTCTTCCAAGTAAAGGAGATGCTGTTTTGTATAAACTGAGCATTTGTACTTCCTTGAATTAAATCCTGGCTTCTGTTACTCCCTGTGGGGTACTGATCCCATCATCCTCTGTTTACCTAAGCAGAATTAATTCTAGTCAGAATCGAGAACTCCACGCAGAGCACATACAACAAGGAGATTACCAAGGCCTCCCCCACATGCTGTGGGGATTTTGGCAGCAGCCTTGCAAACCCGAATTCCTTTTCATCTCAGACCTTCCTTAGATGCTTTGATTCCGGTGGAGGTTTTTCCAGTCTTAACCCTGGGAAAGCAGAACACCAGAGGCCAAGCTCAGGTGACCTGGTTTTGTCCAGGTCTTGAACCATTCTTGTCCAACTTCAGATCCCTTGTCCACAAGAGAAGAGAATTGATGTTTTTGATATTTGCTGCATGTTTAAAGGATGGTTTCAGGTAGGAGCCATGTCACTGACAGCGAATTTGATACATGGAATGTTCTACTTCTGAAGCAGAATTAAATCACTATATGGTCTGACTTGTAATTCTGGGATTCAGAATTCTAAATCCCTGTTGAAGATAGAATGAACTCTTCAGGAGTTAGTCTGTATTAAATCTAGAGCAGAGATGGAATCCCGGCCCGTTCCAGCAACCTTCACTGACTTCATTATGGAAATGCAAGGTGCAAATAATTTGCCCGTTAAAATGAGTATTTATATATGGTATCACCTTTCCCTTTCCTTCACCCACCTTAAGGCCACGCCATTCTTCCTTCCCCATCACATTACTCCCTCTCGACAACTAAGCTATCCCACTGTTGCCGAACAAGTCCCAGTGGGAGACAGTACGATACAATATCACAGCAAGAGCATTTGGCCAGGAGCATGTTTTTGTCAAGAATCAACTGTGAGATTTTAGGGAACTCCCTCTTTTGGGGTCTCAGTAGCCCTGCCTGCCAATCATGGTTCATTGGACCACACGATTTATTAAATTTCCCTTTGGTTCCCAAATCTAGGGGATGCAGATTTGGGGCTTGTGTGTGTGTGTGTGTGTGTGTGTGTGTGTGTGCTGTAGCTATTTTGGGGCTGTATCTTTCTTGCGTTTTGTTTTGTTTGTTGTTTTGTTTTGTTTTTTTGTTGCTGCTGTCATTTATTTTGGTTAATAATTACCCCTCCATCTTGAAATTATCCTACCTTGGTTTTCTTGCCACTGCCCTCTCTGGAGTTGCCTTCTTCCTCTTGGGCGACTTTTGCTTGGTCTTCTTCGAGGACCTGCTGTCTCTCTCAACCCTAGAAGTACCATTTTTTCTTTAGCCCTCGTCTCTTCATGCCTATACCATGGTTCTTGACTTTTTTTTTTTTTTAGCCACAGATTCTTTCAAAATCTACTTATTGTTGATTCCTCCCATGATCCACAACATGGTGCTGATATAACCAAATTTATCTATAGACCATCCTCCCCTTTGATCCCTAAACAGCCCTTCCTGTATTACCAGAGCTGCTTGGCGTGTGGTCTCAAAGAAGACACTTTGGAAGCTTGTTCAAAATGTAAATCCTTAGATCTCACCCCAGTCCTGAGTTAGAATCATGGCACAGGACGGGTTGGGGTCTGTTTTCACGAGCACTCCATGCACACTTTGACTCAGAAAAGTATTGTTCTACACACTTTGTCTGAGTGATCTCTACTGTGCCTCCGGCTGAAAGCATACCTTTATTTGAACATCCAGATGAGACTTCTGGAACACCAAACTCCTATAGCTTACTTCCCAGCGGACCCTGCCATGGCTCTTCCCAGGCTCTTCAAACTTAACAAGTTCAAGAGGCAATCAAACTCTCCCCAGAGAAACGATTATTTTTTGTGTATTACCTGTCTCAGACTGTGTCTGTCATCTGTGTGTCCCCAGGGCCTCACACATAGTAGATCCCCCATGACTATGAACAGCAAGCCAGTTAATGAAAGCACTGGTTATATCCGTGGCTCAGGGCATCTGATATCACCTCGTGGGCCATGTTGGAAATACGTGAACTGACTAAGCGTCTTGTCTGCCGATCTGTCTGCTCTTCTCACTGATAAGGGAATCACTCCACCGCCACGTCCCTTCTCCACCCTCATCCTTCTCTTCCTTCTTTTCTCTCATGTAGCTGATTTAACCACATAGACCTCAGACATTTCTTTTCTTCCTCAGAAGCCCTCCCAAACTACCTTCAACTTTCCGCCTTTCTTCCAGATCATCCAGTTATCTTAGAAAAATCTTCCTCTTTTTCCTCTCTGTCATCTGAAGAGTGAAAGTTACATCAAGGAAACCATGAGTTTGGGAATGAAATCAGATATCCTGTGGTCCTAAAATGGCCCCGGAGTGCCCTTCCTCTCTTAATGTAACTCTGTAGGCACCAGCATTTACAATAAATAAAACAATTTCTCATGGAATTTCTTTCTCTCCTTTCCTTTACTAATACTGCAATGGTATGGTTTGATTTTGGTGACAAAGGCTTGGTATTTCTGCCATGGTATAAGCCACCCAGGCCTGTGAGGGTAACCTTATAAGATTTCTAAGTTTTGCTAATGCATTTAATTTTTTTTTTTCAGTTTATTTATTTTGAGAGACAGAGCAGAGGAGGGGCAGAGAGAGAGAGAATCCCAGGCAGGCTCCGTGCTGTCAGTGTGGAGCCCGATGTGGGGCTCGAACTCACGAACTGTGAGATCGTGACCTGAGCCGAAACCAAGAGACACTTAACCGACCGAGCCACCCAGGCGCCCCTAAGTGTTGCTAATGCATTTAAAAGATAAATGTAGTTTTGCGAGAATTATTTTTTTATCTGCCAGTGTTGGGGATACGTGTGTTATCAACTTTCTCTTCCCTCACCAAATTCATGATTCGTTTTGGAACTTTCTTTACAAAAAGACAACATTTTAGTTTGGAGTCATATCTGGAATACAGGGTATAAAACATTCCTCACAAGGCAGGGATTTAGGGGTAAAACTTGAATTTCACTGCATCTGACTTGTCTGGCCGAGGTTGTGGTACAAAGGGAACGGGGATGTAGAATGGAGTGAGGACAGCTGCTGTGAGCCACATGAAGGAAATAAATTAACAAGTGAAAGAGTAGGCTTATTTTGTGTATTGGCTTTAGCATTTAAAGCCTGGAATTCAAAGGAATAATGTGGTCCGCTTCAGTTTTTCCTTGTGTTGTTAACACCAAGCTTTGCACAAAATACTTAGTGAAATCCATCAGATTGAATTATATTGATCCTAAGGTCTATAGTACATGCCGCTAAGAATCTAGTCAATATTAGCATTGTTTAACTTCTATAAACTTGAAATTATTCCATCAGGGAGAGCACCTATATGTTGATATAAATTTGTATGGGTATTTATTTTTTTTCATTTCTTTTTTTTTAAGTTTATTAATCTATTTTGAGAGGGGGAGGGGGCAGCGAGAGAGGGAGAGAGAGGATCCCAAGCAGGCTCCACACTGTCAGCACGTAGCCCAAAGCAGCGTTCAAACTCACAAACTGTGAGATTGTGACCTCAGCTGAAACCCAAAGTTGGGAGCTTAACTGACTGAGCCACCCAGGTGCCCCATATATGGATATTTAAAATTCTGTGCCTCTTGATTGCTCAGTGTTAGCATTGATCAGTAACAGGCATTTTGCCTGAATTGCTGTGCTTATTTTGGTGTCATGTTCTTAAGAGGTAAGCGACTTTATGGGGCACCTGGGTGGCTCAGTCGGTTGAGTGTCCGACTTTGGCCCAGTTCATGATCTCACAGTTTGTGGGTTCGAGCCCCGCATCAGGCTCTGTGCTGACCGCTTGCTCGGAGCCTGGAGCCTGCTTCAGATTCTGTGTCTTCTTCTCTCTCTCCCCCTCCCCCTGCTCATGCTTTGTCTCGCTCTGTTTCTCAAAAATAAATAAAATGTAAAAAAAAAAAAATTAAAAAGAGGTACGCGACTTTAAAATGCCTGCCCTAACCTTACAAGTGTCCAAGTCTCAATGAGCAGCTCCTTCCTAAGAAGTTTTGCTGCAGTGGTCTCCCTAAATGGCACTGTACTAAGCAAGAGAATCTCATTGTCTGCGATGGGTCCTCTCAGTACTCTTCCTTCAGCTCTTTTTCATTGATGTTGTTAGATCAGCATAGGATCCGTCCACGTAGCCTGCCTCCGCAGCCCTCTCCTGATCCCCTTCTGTTTCCTCTGAGATGTTTGCGCCGGATGGAATGTTAACTTTCTCTTCTTCTCTTAAACTGCTCTAGGTATCAAACTGGTTTGGAAATAAGCGAATCCGGTACAAGAAGAACATAGGTAAATTTCAAGAGGAAGCCAATATTTATGCTGCCAAAACGGCTGTCACTGCTACCAATGTGTCAGCCCATGGAAGCCAAGCTAACTCACCCTCGACTCCTAACTCAGCTGGTTAGTTTTTTCTTTGATTTGGGGGGATCGTGCTCCATTTTTTATACCTGCTTTTCCTACATTGGGGTTCTCTTTTAATCCTTTAGGTTTCTGATTGGTTCACTGATGTATTTGATTTGTCTTTTTTGTTGTCGATGCCACTTTGGGTTTTTCCTTTCATTTCCAAAGAGCAGTGCGTCTTACTCTTTAGAAGACGGGTTTGTCCAGACGTTTGCACTAATGTGTCTGTTTAGGTTGGACGGACCTAAATTGGTTGGTTTGGATGAGAAGACCTTCACATTCTCCTTTCAAAGATGAACTAGATCTGTTACTTAAAGATAGTCCCTTGGGGCTCTAGCATTTAGTCTGTTTCACATGAAGTTTTTACCCTGGTCTACTTTGCTGTTCCCATCACATAGTGTCTGAGAGACCCACCTCTCTGCAGGAATATTCCTCATTACAGTGCTCTGGTGTGCAAAGCCAGCCTGGGACTACCCCCGTCCACTGTTTATAGCTGTTGTTCTTTACTGTTTTACCTTGTTGGTTTCTTTATGTCAACTACAAAGAAAATTGCCAATCATTAATTCAAATTACGCATATTCCAGTTTTCCTATTATAGTATTAGTCATGTGCTGTGCTCCTGGTTTTACTTCAGTGAATATGCATTCCATCACTAACTTCAGAGTTCAGGCTAACGTAATATATTTTGGGGTTTGCCTTGTACCACCAGTGCTGAATTTCCATATGTGAAAAAAACTGTCAATAATACATAAAATCTAACCTTAGTGTTTCTATGCTATGGAAGGCATGTTGGTACTTTTTTTTTTTTTTTTTTTTTTTTTGGTAAGGGGAAACCAGAAATCGTTCCTTATTAAATAGTTGTGGTCTCAGATTATGTGGTATTTGCCCCCATAATGAAACATGTGCATTGATTTTGGTGGTTTGGTGCACATCTAAGAAAATTGATGCCTCCAACTTGAAGGGTCACAAATTTAAATATGTTTGACCATGATAGGATTATAAATCTAATTTCTACCATTTCTGGGAAGTGTCCTTGACCCCAAAACTTGTTTGTTCGCTAAAGTAAATTCTCTTTCTACCTTATGGTGGATGGTTATTGGAGACGTGTAAAGCTCCATATGCTAACATCTTCCGTGAGCTTCTAGATGCACTAATTTGTTATCATAAGGCTCTCCACGTCACTGGCCTGTTCCATCATAGCCTTGTTTTGTTTAAATGGAATCACGTGTGAAGAGTGGCCCGAGCGTTGTAAGCATGGACATGGTAAGACAATGTAGAATTCAGTCTAGTTTTATTTTTCCCAGCATGCCAGGTTGGGTAACTCTGAAGAGCGTATACTTTTTGAGGTTTGTGCGTGTGTATTTCCTTCTTTCCCCCTCGTGGCATGATTGACAAAGGATCAAGGCTAAGAGGTTCAATAACCAGAGAGTTTCCTTCTTCCCCATCTGGTCAACTATTAAGCCTTTCAGACTCCAGCAACACTTAGTTGAATCGCACTGCGAGGCAGACATGTTCATTTGTCTCTGGAAGAAGTACAATCCTGTCAACATTAGCAAAAACACACTCAACACTCCTGCAAAGGTTATCATAATGCAAAACAGATATCAAAATGACTTTTTCCTGTCCCTGATATATCTGCATTGCAGATGGTTGAGCATGATTTATGACTAGTCCCTAGAAGGGCCCTGTGGACTCCCTTCATTACTAAAGCCGTAACTTTTTATTCGTTTCTAAAGCACTTAAAAAGAGAAAAGTAAGCATTTTAACCTCCCCCCCCCCCACTCTGGTTTAAGAATTATGTTGCCTCTCTTGGAATGTCAGTCAATGATTACAGTTTTCTAAGGAATTTTACTGGTAGCTTCAACTTATGTGACTCTTCTAAGCACAGAGTAAATTATCATGGAAAATTTGAGCTAAGCCGTCCATTTGTGCCTAAGCTGTTGGAAACAATATGCAGAGGAACCCCTTTGTAGTGCTTTTTTTTTTTTACAGCAGAGACAAAAGAAAATACTACTGTATATGTGCAGTAGCACGGAATTTTCATTCATCAACGTTTTAACAGAAAAAGTCTTATGGGGGCTTTTCTGCATTTTCCTTCGCTCTTAACACCACCTGTATCATTGCACAGATAAAGTGAGAACTTTAAAATGTTCAAACTTTTCACCTAGGGTGTTGATAATCTTGTATACTAACTAGTTCTTTGATAATTCCAAAGGGTAAATGATCATTGAAACAGATAGGAGTGTTGAATAAGAGGTTAATATGTGAAAATATATTTTGGCTGAGTTTGAAGTCTAGAGATCTGGAACCTGGAAACTTTTTATATCCTTCATATTGAAGCAGGGTTTTTTTCCCAGATGCTTTACTAAATATAAATACTCATTTTTACGGCAAAAAGGATACTTTGCAAGTAAATCTTCTTCCCTCTAGAGGCTTTTGTGTAGACAAGCAGTACTCAAGTATCTTTATTTAGGTCACTTCTGAATATTCCTATTTGTTGATGTATGCCTGGTCTCTTGTTTCCTTAAGCATAATTCGTTAAAATCACTTTGGGTGAAGACCGGGGGCGGGGTGAGTAAGCATTTACTTGGCGTGTTTCATATCTGACACCAGCAGAGTTGGGCAGAACGGATGGAACAAAAAGGAAGAATGGAAGGATGACAAGAAAATGAAATCTTCACACACACACACACACCCAACACACACACACACACACACACACACACACACACACGAAAAGGCAAAATGGGGACCATTTGAAGCAATAGTTATAACCTCAGGTCCATAATCCTGCAATCACCTGGGGGAACTCATTCTTAGTGTCCTATTTTTTGATGAGATTATAAGAGCAAGAATCAGATCTCGGAAAAACAGGGCCCCTTTTGGAAAGTCAGATGATCTTCTAGGGAACGTTTTAGCATCCAAGAAGGAAGAAATTGGCTTGTGCGTTACAGATGTTTTGCTGCCGCATAGCATCAGCATTGGTATTTTATTAGATACTGTGATTAGCCAAGCAACCCCAGGCTCATTGAGGCTCAGGACCCCCTCCCACGATTCGAATTCTTTTGCTGGCTCTGGGGCGTGTGTTAGGGGCAACTGCGAGCTTGGCCATCAGAGTACTTCCTCTGGCACTATTTAGTCAGTGGCAAACTCTAGTACATGTCTGTGCTACCCCTAATAGAGGTTTGGTGTTTTTATGGATTGGGAGAGCATGTTCTTATTAAAACCCCTAGATCCTGGCTTCGTAAGAGAAGTTTACGTATGTAGGACCCACAGAGAGGAGGTAGCACACCCAGAGAGGTTGGCCAATCCTTAATAAATCCTTAGGAACTTTTACAATTTTTTTTAAAGCCAAGCGAAAGAATTTATCACACTGATGTTTTCTGCTGTGTTTTTTTCTTCCCTTAATTTCTACGTTAGAAAATGAAAACACAGCCTGCTGGAATTGGAACTCTAGAACCTTGCCATGTGCGCCTGCTAAAGGGATGTCACACTGAGCCAGACAGCCTCTCCCTCTTGTGCTTTGTCCTGAGTAGAAAGTGGCAATGATTTTTGGAGTTTGGAAGGGGACTAATCATGGAAAAGAGAGAAGCAAGCCTGAGATGCAGCGAAGCTTACGTCTATCAAAGACGCCCCATCTTTTGCGCCTCCGGATGGTGTAGGGGTTCCAGTCTGATCAGCTACCATCTAATTTCTCTGAAGCCTTGATTTCAAGGCTGCACAATTAGGGTAATACTTGTCACACAGCCACTTTATGAAAATGCTATGGGGAATAACGAGCCAGTACTTTTAAACACTTTGCATTCCTCAGCAAGGAATAGTAAATCCTCTCTTATGCTACGTCATTGGTTCTCATCTGGATGAACTTGTACCTCAGGTGACATTCCGTAATGTTTGGAGACATTTGGCTGTCCCACTTTGGGGAGGTGGGTACCACTGGCATCTGGTGAATAGAGGCCAGGGATGTGGCTGACCACCCTCCGATACATAAAGCATTCCTCCACAAGGAAGTTTCCAGGCCAAAATGTCAATAGAAACCTGGCTTTAAGTTTAGACTTGATCGTTAGTATTCTGGTTTTCGGATTATGAAGTTAATTGTTTTGTTTTGGGTTTTTTCTGAACAAATTTAAGTCTCCTAAAGACTCTCCAGTAGCAATGCAGTCTTTGGGAAATGATCTTCCGAAAATGGATGTTAGCACATCTCCGCCTTGCCATATTTGCCTGAGCAAATGCATTAGAATCCGTAGGTGACCCATTAGTTCTTGTCTGTCTAGTGGATTGTAGATTTAGCTCTGTATATGCCCCAAATATCTGGATGACAGCTTAAATGAGCCAGTTGCCTTCCTTCCCTCTCCAAATTCGGAACCTTTTAACTGGCAAGCACGTCTCAAAATGCGCTCTTAGTAATTGCTGATTCCCAGCCACCTGCAGGTAAGGTGCCTGACAGACCTTCTCAGCAAGCCAGGTAATTCTGTGTTAGTTCTTTGAGAATTCCGCAGCACCGCTAAGACTGCCTGTTCTCTATTTGTCAAGAAAGTCCGTCTGCCTCCGGAGGCTGGCCGTTCTGTGAGACGTTTTTTTCTAACCTCCAGTCCAGGAGAAGAACGTGTCTTCTCCTCCTTACTTAGAGTCTCGTGTGGGCTTCTGGCTGCCTTATGGCCGTGTCAATGGCACGCGGCCTCTTCTCTCAGAAAAATCAGTGCCTCTAGGTACTTATCAGAGGGTCGGAAGCCATGGTAATGTTGTACATGGGTGTACGGACAATAAAATGCAGAGGCAAGAACACAGGGATCATTCCTGCAATTACTGCTCTGATTCAAATGCACTTGTACATGAAGGACATTGATATGCGCATATTTATTTCCATGTACACTCGGCAGCCAGACATATTTACAATTTATCTATGCACATATATTTTTTAAATCATCTGTGTCAATTGCGGTGTGTATCTTGTAAATGGCACGTTCCGTACCTTCATGGTACCCAGCACCATTGCAGCCCTGTGGGGCTTTTCTCCCATTCCTTCGTTTGCGTGCTAATTTCCCATAAGCCATCAGCAAAGCATATAGAGTGTGGGTTTATTATGTGGTATTTGATTGGGAGAGAAAGAAAATCCCTGGGCATCAAACTGAACATTCTCGGAGGAAAAACATCCTGGTGTCATACAGACAATTCTCATTCGGGGATCTGGGAGCTGACTGTTCTCTGTTCTGATGCCATCTACGCGGGAGCACGCGTTGTAACAACGAGTACAAAATGGCTGTTATTATTTGGGTTCAATTAAAAGAAAGGTTTGAGAGGGATGTTAAGTAGGACATGTAGGTCCGGGAATTATGTACCTCAGCGTGACAGTGTGATCTGTGCTGCACCCTGCTTCACCCACACGTTGGGGAGATTTGCGCCACATTACTGGAAGTTGAGAATCTCCCCAAGGAAACTGTTGGGTTCTTCAGAATGGCTCCTGCCTTGGGAGGATGGGGATGCTATGAGCGGTTAGACATAGCACAGAGTGGCAGAGTTCAGAATTCATTGCCGGTTAAGGGACTCTTCCAGGGCACAGAAAGAGCCTTCTCTCGAGCTCCAGGAGACAGCCCTCTAGGAGAGCGCAGATCCCTATCTTGGGAGATGAGAAAGTGTCAGAGCTAGGGCATCATTGCTGGGTGATCCCACACGGATGATGGCTGTCAGAGTGTGAGGGCAAGGGCGCAGTTTGAACAAGACAGAGTTGGAAGTAGAGTGGAACTGACCTGGGTCCCTAAGGTCTCTCCTTTTCTAGGCTAATGTCATGTTTTAACCAAACCTTGCACGTTGAGCTTTCTTTCCTAATGCGCTGAGCTGCACGATGACTTCAGAATAATATGAAGCTTCCCCACGCCCTTGTGTTTCGGCTGCGGGTAGGCTGGGTTTACCCCAGTGCAACCTGGGTGCTGCCTGAAGGCTAACTGCCTGGGAGAAGGCTTCTTCTCTGGGAGGTGAAAGCAGATGGCTGACTGCTTTTCTTGAGGCCCACTTTTATTATTACCATAAGTGTTATTATTAGCATTTCGTATTCCGTGCATGCTTCAGAATTCCTGGCCCGTTATTCTGTGTCCCGTTCCTCCGTAATGGCGGGCGGCAAGGGAAGCAGGTGACCATTCTCACGTCTTCTTGCAGTCCTTGATGCTCTCCCGGGCTGCTTGCCACCCAGCAAGGAGCCCGACCTTCTTTCCAGAAATCAGGAATGTCAATGGACTCGCGTCCCAGGGCCAGCCCTAACGCGTGGCACTGCTTTCATGCATACCCCACCCGGGGCTGCTTCCCACATGAGGGCAGATGGGTTGGCAGTGGCCTGTTTGAAAGCCAGCCGAACAGCAGCTCATGTGCCCCAACATGGTGGCACCGGCCCAAGTTCTTCAACTGGTGGAGAACCCCTAGAGTTTAACGGGCATGAAAGAGAGGTCTCGGATCTGGAGACCGTCTCCGATTCGCATAGACTAAGTTGAGAAGAAGAAATGTCCCCTTTCTCAGCTTGAAGCTGTCAAGGGGACACAGTCCTATTGGCAACTTGCAGTAAGATGTGGCTTCCCATAACATGGACGATACACACCCTTTATCGCTTGCTCTGTCCTTCATGCTACTAACCGGATTCTGTTGATATTATTTTTATTTTAGTGTTTATTTGGGGGGGTGTCGCTTTGCATGTCATTCTTCCTCTTGGCTGTTAGTTGCAGGGGTTGTGACCCTTTGCCTTTCTGTGATTCAGGTGCCTCACTCTTTCCTTTCCAGGTTCTTCCAGTTCTTTTAACATGTCAAACTCTGGAGATTTGTTCATGGGCGTGCAGTCACTCAATGGGGACTCTTACCAAGGGGCCCAGGTTGGAGCCAACGTGCAGTCACAGGTAGGGACCCAGCCAATGTGCCACCAGGTGAATGCATTGGAGTCCCAGAGCCCTCGGTCGTATTGGCACTTGCCAGTCTGTCCAGAGAGAGAGAGGGAGATGGTGAGAGAGGGAGAGATGGGCGGGGAGAGAGAGAGTGAGAGAGAGAGAGAGAAAGAGAGAGAGGGGGGAAAGGCAGAAACACAATCTTACCAGCAACCAAACCAAAACAAAACAAAGACAGCCATGGTCATGGGGAATCTCGTCCACACTTTGTGAATGCATTTGGCTCTGGCTTGTCAGCCACACTGGGAAAGCAGGAGAAAAGCAAGCCCAGGGTGAGGCGACCAAGGCCCATCGGGCACGTGGAACCAGCAGCGTATTCTTTCCTCACTGAAGGGAAGGGAGGAGGAGTTCAGTCCATTGTCTCACGTAGCAGGTCTCCCTCTTGGTCGTGGGCTTCCCACACTCAATATTTGCCAACTAAGGAGGTAACTGATGAGTAGGCAAATGCCTTCGTATCTCCTGTTTTTGTTTCAAGCTGTAAAAACACCCAGCCATGTTGACTAAACTCATCTTCTCAGTCATCCTTGAGGTCAAGGAACTTGGGTTTCTGGTCATGAGTCAGAGCCCATGTTGGGAAGCAAACATCAGGTCGTGTGGTGTAAACCCTTGGTACCCATTAGCAAGCAGCCCGCCTTCACTACGCCTCAGGAAGCCACCCTTCGGTCTCAGCACAGAGCCTGCTGTGAGAGGGTAAAGTCGAATGCCCTGGGTCAGGGTTGCTAGGGAAGTTGGGACCACCTTAGCCCACCCTCCCACCCTGCGTGTGGAACAGGAAACCCTACATGCCTGGAAGAGACCACCTGGCCAGTGATTCAGCCCCTCGCTCAGGGAGCTGCCTGGGGACAAGTGTGAGGAGCCATGGTCAGACTGGCCAAGCGAGCGAACAGCTGGCCGTCATCCGAGTCCTCCAAAAGATGGCGTTAGTCACAGACCGCTGTGTCTGTGCGGTGGCTGCCCCAGCCCCCTCTAGACAGAGCCTTGACTTGTGTGGGATACCAGCGAAGGAGAAGCTCTGGCGGGTGATCTGCACGACAGGGGGGGTGTGGCTCCTTCACTCTGTCCCCGCTCCTGTCACCCGGTCCCCGCCGTCTCATGCAACGCCGTGAGTCAGTTTCAGCGGTGGGAATCCCAGGTTTCTCTGACCATTCTCCCGTCTTGCTCACTGAACTCAGAAAGGAAAACGGATTTGGCAGATAGAGAGGCGGCCTCCTCCTGGCGGGCCCCTCCCGGGGAGGTTACCTGCGTCACGATCGCGTGAATGTGGCGCGTCCACGCGGTCGCCTGCTTGATGATTCTCTGCCTCCCTTTGCCTGCGTCTCCCTGACTAATTGCCTCTCTGTTGTTGTTCATTGTTTAGGTGGATACCCTTCGCCATGTTATCAGCCAGACAGGAGGATACAGTGACGGACTCGCAGCCAGTCAGATGTACAGTCCGCAGGGCATCAGTGTAAGAAAACAAGGCTCCCCCACCCTTTGTGTTTCTTCTATCATAACCAATTATTTCAAAGCCACAGGGCTTGGAATGCCACTTAGTAGGACTCGTCTCAGCTTTATGGTCACCTAGTTTCTTGTTTCTGTATCGGCCACGCCGTCGGCAGCGTTCCACCCACACAAAAAGTGGCGACTGGGCAGGCTTCACGCAGGCAGCTGGCGTCTAGGGCTGTCACACGCAATCAGTGTTCGCATGGCACCTGCGGCCACTCGCGTTCAGCCGAGAGGAGCCGCTAACCAGGTGACACCTAGCACAACAGTGGTAGGAAATGTCGCCACAAGCAGGGGCCTGGGGACCTGGGTGGGAAAACCAGTAGCCAAAATCCATTGCATCCAGGTCTGTGGTCTTAAAAAAAAAAAACAAAAAACAAAAAACAGCCTTTCTCCAATCTGTCTAAGGACGAAAAGAAAAAAAAAGAAATTAACTCAGAGGCCGGGTGCGTTGAAGGGATGGGGAGGGGTGCGGACCATCTTCATGTTCTTGGGCGCGCTGGCGGCTTCTGACTAGCATGAAAATTCATAGCGACAAGCTGTGTCGCACAGAGTGAAATCGATCAGACAGACACAAGGAGAACCGAATGTAGATTTGGGACAGCAATCCAACTTGATTTCTCAGATCAATCGTCCGCTATCTCAGCAGCGGTGACAGCAAGCTGGGACAAGAGGCAGCCTGGAAAAGGACGCTGTTCTTCAGATCAGGGGGTCATTTCCTGGGCTTTTAGAGGTCACAGAAAGCGCCACCAGAACCATTGGCTCAGAACTGTAGAAGAAAACTGTGGTTGATTGATGGTGACGATTTCTTGTTTGTTTCTGTTGTTGTGATTCAAATGCGTTGGGAATGGAACGAAGGAAAGGTAGGCATGACATGTTAATGGCGTCCTGGTCTATACTCATTGAGGTACAGTGTCTGCAGTGAGGGAGGTGATGGCTCCTTCCAACCCACATGCGTCAAGTCAGACATGACTAAGCCCAGACTAGAAGGAATCAATGGAATACCAACTGGTTCATCACAAGGAATGGTTGAAAGAATTAGGAGTTCTTAGCCCATAAAAGAGAAAATGCGGTTGGTATATAGTAATTTGAAACACGTTATTTGTGGGGAAGATTGGATTCATCATGAGTGATCAGAAGGGGGGAAGGATAGAAGCCCTGGGTGGAAGATTCAGGGAAATACATCGCATTTCAACAGTTGATGGGCCTTTCTCACAGAGTTACCTGGAGAAGGGATTGGCTTCCTGGGAAAGTCAAGATTTCCCCGTCATCAGAGCACTCAAGCATGGCGTAGCTAGCTACTTAGGATGTCAGAGAAAGGAGTCAAGTACCAGGTTTAAGTGTCTTGGTGACTTTTAAGGCCCCTGCCAATTAGGAATCCTTTATTTTCTACCTACGTTTGGCGGGATCTACTCTGAATTTGTATGATATTTATCAAGTCCCTCTCTGGCAGGAGCTGGAGGAGGTCAAAGCTAACCCTATTGAATGTAGTCTGGGCAATCATGGCAATTTTCCAGAAAGAATTTCCAGAACAGAGACATGCTTCTCTTCTTAGGCTCCTACTAATCATTATTACCGTATTAACGGCTGACTTGCCAGAAACCTGCTCAGAGAAATACAAGATACTTGGTGGAAGACTGTGTTCTCAAAAACGGATGCCAGCTCAATGAAGGTGCCCTGTGCTCCTTTGTTGCGGGGGGCGGGGGGAGGGGTTTCAAGCACATATGCATTTATGCGTTTTCTGAAGATAGGTTTTTTTTTTTCCAGAGAAAGCTTCGCTCTGTGTAAGTGGAAGACAGGAACATGAGGAAAGTACCAGAGGGTGGGGACGAGAATATAGGCACACTGAAACAAGGAACTGCAGAAAGTCTGTGTGAGTGGGCAAGAAATGGGCTCCCACTTCTGCTGTGTGGTATCTTTCTTCCTAACTGGGTAGTGCAGAAGAGGGTGCCACTCAGGCTCTGGGTTGGGGGGGGGTCAACATTGACCCCTCTGATGTTATCTGGTGGGCTGGGAATCATTTCTGCAAGAGGGTAACCAAACATGTGCAGACAATTATGTCTGATTACATAAGCTGCCCACAGAAACTGGGCTTGAAAATGCCACTCGAAAGAGTCTGTGGTTGTGCATTAATTTTTTTCCCTGGGAACCATGTTTGTTTTATTTCTGGGCCTTCAATAGGCGGGGTAAATGATTCAAAGGCTGATCGTGGAGGATGCGTGCCTTTTGGTATCCATTTTAAATTTTCCGTGGTGCCACCTGCAGGAGACGAAACCGGTTAGAGCAAGCTGTGTTTTCAGACCGTGGTGTTCGACACGGACCCGTGTGTACGTGCAGAGTGGGGCTCTGGCTGCCAGGAGAAGAAAGAGGGAAGGAGGGAGACAAGAAGAGATGAGGGCAGGAATGAGAGGTTCGAGCCAAGAAATAAAAATAAACAATTCCCAGACCCAAGGCAGCAATGGAATTTCCAGCTGGACTCTGGATTGTGTTTCATTCGGCAGAGGACATTTTCTGGGCAGCCTTTATCTGCTCCCCTGGCTGGGTTTGCATAGCGCCCGTTTCTTATCCAACCAACGTCTATTTTAAATCCCATCAAGTTCAGACCACTTGCCTTTCGGTGAGCCCAGGTGGCAAAGGCGTGGAAGGTGGCGGAAGAGCTGGGAGACCCTGGCCCTGGTCACTCTCGTGTGTCCGTGGGCAGGCATCGTACCTCTCTTCCAGAAAACAGGGCCAGCACTTCCCACCCTTAAAACCCCAAGGGCTGCTTCAGGGAAAATGAGAAAATAAGGAGGAAAGGGCTTGGCAAAGTAGAAATTGTTCCACACAAATGCAGTATGAAATGTTCTAAGCGATAACGTTCTAATCTGACCTTTTTTCTCCTCTTGTGTGAGCAGTTTTTTACAGTAGGTAGTTCCTAGTGAGGATTGGTCAGGACGCGGCTGTCACTTTTTTCTCTCCTGGTGGGAAGCCACGCTTTCGAAAAGGATGTAGGGTTCGCGAGTCCTGAACACCCCCTTCCTTAGCGGCGGTGAGCTTAGGTCCCCTGTGCTCTCAGACGACAATGGACAACACGTAGCAGCTTAGAGGGGCTCTGAGGAACAGAGGGAGGTTATTCTACTTCCCTGTCAATCAGACGTACTTAGATCACGTTCTTCTCTTTCCTTTCTCGCTGCCGTTGCCCTAGTTCTAGAATAGTTCATTGGCTGGGCCATTTCACATGACCACTTTCTAGTCACTGTTCTTGCCTTCAGTGTCTCCTTTCTCCTGCATACACCCTCTGAATTTTGCCATTCCTTGCCCGGAAATCACCAGCGCCGGTCTGCTGCCTACCTAAGCGAGTTCAAACCCCAAGTCTGACATCCGGGGTCTCCCACACTCTGGCCCCAACCTACCTGCCCTTCTACCTCATCCTCCTGACATCCAGGTAGAATTTGGTTGCTGGGCAACATGGTCAGTTCATCGTTGCCTGGTTACCCACATCCCCCTATGTTCGCTCATGGCCACCACCTCCATAAATGCCCTTCATTCCTGTGCCACCTTCCCCAGGCCTCCCCACCCTCAAAAATCCCTTTTGCTTCCACAGCCGTCTCCTCGTTGCTGCCTGTGTTTTCCTCCTTAGCCCTTCTCCCCTGCTTCTCTCTGCCTCATCACACATACCCTGCCTTTGCGTTATAGATACGTGAACAGACAGACCTACTTGGTCTTCGTGTCTTTCACTCCTGAATATTTCCTAAATATTTCCTAAATGCCTGTATTAGTTGCTCAAAACATGTTTGCTGATGGATGAATCAGGTAAGAGAAGGCAAGTCGCCACTGGATTTACAAAGTGCACTCAGTGGCCAATATCCACATCTTACATAGCAGTAAAGTATCTAGTAGTGATTTTTCTTTTAAATGCTTTACTAACCCACAAATATCCCGTGTTTTTAATTCAGAAAGTTTCTCCAGTCTGCCCTATAATAAAAAGTTTCCGAACTTTTGGCCAGTGCGGATTCTCCGAGAACATGATTCGCATTAAATCCATGAAGCTGCATAGTGATGATATTGTCAAGAGGATGATCCCTTTGAATTCTGCAGAACTTCTCCTGTCCTCAGAGAAACCCTATGCCAAAACCTGTTTGTGGGATACCATCCATAGTAGAAATAGAAATCATTTCTGGTGGCCTTTTCTCTTTGTCATCTCTACCAGATGGGGCATTGAAACCTCCATGGACAGACGTGTTGGGGGTAGAAGCAACTTGAAATTGGGAAATTTAGATCCTTCCTGTGGCTCTGCTTTTGATAAGTGGCATCGCCTCTGCATTTTTGCCTCGTGTATAAAGTTTACCAGATAAGCAAGCTCTAAACTCCCCTTCTAAATTCCATAGTTCTAGAGTCCTTCCAGTATGATCTTTGGTTCCTCCTGTCAGCTCCAGGGATGCCCAACTCCACTGCAGCCTAGCCTCCCTGGACACCTCTTTGGGTAGAGTTAGCCCCTGCCATTCCTTCTAGCCTCCCCCTCTATCCCCTAAAATTGTGTCTTGAGGTCCTAAATGGGAAGGAGGAAGAGCTTTCATTACATAAACCTTTCCCTGTGAATTCTCAGAGATCCGTGGAAGCAGAAAGCATTATTCTTCCCGGGGCGGAACACTTTATTTTTAATTATTTTCAAATGTGAGTTAAGGGAGTGAGTTCACTCCAGCCAATTTTAAATGTAAATAGAAACCCCTGGAAGAAAAAGAGCAACCCCTGTACGATGTTTCTTATTCAAGAGTTTTAGTGAAGGTGGAAATAAAGTGTTAGTGTTCTCTCTGTAAAGGCAGGGCGCCATCAATGTCCGTTTATGACAGAAACATCCCGTGAGTTTTGCTTTGTGATAATTACAGGAATGGAAAAACAGAGATGAAACTTTTCTCTTTGGAAGCCATAGCATATGTATTTTTGTTTGGGTTTGCTTTTCTCCCATGTTCGGCAAAGGGAGAAAAA